TTTTCATATCGCCTCTAATGTTGCTTCACTGTTTTCTTTTAAGCGAAATGCAGAAAAATCGGTGTCAAGATATGACTACATGACTTATCTTCTTCGACATGTTAATAATAAAAGTTAAAAAAAAAAACATTATATTTCATGGCATCTTATAATAACAAAACATAACAACCCTTTTCCTTGGCCTATATGATGATTATTAATTTTAAAGAAAGAAATATATGCCTTTGAATTAAATGTGACAAATTGTTTTACAATTGTTTTAAAAAACAAAATGTTTTAACAAAATAAAATTTCTAACTCTAAGTTATAATAAATCGTTTGAATAGTTTACTTGCAAGAGTTGTCTTTCCTATTTCCCCCAGACTCAAAACAAAAGGGTACTTTCGATCATGAAGCACTTTTCATTAGTTAAATTTTGTGATATACGGTTGAAAAAAATACTAAGACATTCATTGCAGGCAACAAAATAATTTCTGCATATGATCCATTTTTTACCTTGACTTCTTAAAAATGTACTATCAATGTGAATTCAAATTCATATAACAAAGAAATCTTAAAATTTCCGAGAATATGTAAAGATAGGTTAAAAATATATATTATATTAATTTCTACACTGTATATTATTTTCCTACTTTTATATTTGCTTCCTTAAGGTCCTTACACACCAAGCTGCGTTCACACGGAGTCATTACGGCGTTGTTAAAATTTTAAAATCGCCGTGGAATCGCAGGAAAATTGCTCAAATTATGTAAAATTTTCAGAAGATGAAGATGTCACTGCGTCCCTACGGCGACGGACGCGATTCTACGGCGATTTCACGGAGTTCTACAGCGTTTTCACGGAGATCTCTCGGCGATTGACTGCGCTTTCGCGGAGTTGTCACGGCGCGTAAGGAGTTTTCACCTCGTGTTCACGGCGTTCTCACTGCGCTGGCTGCGTTCACAATACGTTCACAATGCGTTTTATACTCAATTATATAAATTCAGAAGGAATGTAATACATTTTTGTCACACGATGAAAAGAAATATTCTTAACAAGAGGCCCATGGGCCACATCGCTCACCTGAGAATCTTTGACCATTCTGTTCTTTACCAGATTTCCCCCTTGTAATACATACTGTGACCCCACCCTACCCCAATGATAATAATTTAGACAATTTGTAATCTACACTACCCCCAGGATGCTTCCAAGTTAACGCTTTTCTAGCCCAGTGGTTCATGAGAAAAAAAGATTTTCAAAGATTTTTCCTGTATATTTCAATGTAAAAATTTGATTCCCCGATGTGGCCCCGCCCTACCCCCGGGGGTCATGATTTGAACAATTTAGAATCTACACTACCCAAGGGTGCTTCCACATAAGTTTCAGCTTTTCTGGTCCTGTTGTTCTTGAGAAGATGATTTTTAAAGATTTTTCCTACATATTTCTATGTAAAACATTGATTCCCCATTGTGGCCCCGCCCTTCCCCCGGGGGTCCTGATTTGAACAATTTAGAATCTACACTACACCAGGGTGCTTCCACATAAGTTTCAGCTTTTCTGGCCCAGTGGTCATGATTAGAACAATTTGGACTCTATCATGAGCTAATAATTAAAAATGTTCTATTTAAATGATTTAGTACTAAATTAATAATAGTTAATAATAGTTTTATGATTAATCTCCTTTTTTTCAATTTTATCGGTTCAGATGTGTTGTTAGTTGTTTTTTTTTATTTAATTATGAATGTAAAAAAAAATTAAACACACTGAAAAGTTTTCTACAAAATTTAAGTGAAACAAGCTAATTCAAAGAATGTGTGTCCCCCGCTTAGGGAAAAAAGTAAACCAGTGCGGGGGTCGGAGGGGGGGGTCGTATCCCGTTGACTGGATTTTTAGAATTATTAAATGTATACATGTATACTGAAGCAAATAAAATATGCCATATCGATATAAAGGTTTGATTGCTAATTCTTTATTATGTGTATTGAAGAGTCTTTTTATATGGAATATTCATCACACTGTAATGATGATTATATGAGTTTGTACAAGCCAGACCTCATAAATTTTTCATTACACGTGCTGAATACTATCATTTAGTAAAAAAAAAAACCTATTTCGAAAAAAAAAAAAAAAGATTATGCCTAAACGGGAATGCGAACCCGGGCCCTCTCACATGTGAAGCGAGTGACATACCCACTATACCACGGCGCCGCTTTTAAATAATTGAAATTATATGCAAAGATAACGTTACATACATGTATATATTCACGTTTGATATTGTCAAAATTTTACACAATGCATGGTGTCTCATTTAACCTTCATTAAACAGTTCTATTAGATGTAATAAGAATATAAAGTCCACCGAGAACCTGTTTTATACGTAATTTATACGTAATAACTCGCCTCATGCCCCTATGCTTAAAATAGCGACATGTAATACAATAAATACTAATAAAACAAGCGGGGCGGGACACTTTGAGAGGGGTGAGAGAGGTCCTAGGGAGTTTTGGTATAAAATTACATTGCAAAAGCTCAAAATCTTCTTAAAATATCGCCTGGAAAAGATAGTGTTTCATACAGACAGAATGTATAAATTTACAACCTTGAACTTTGACCTTTTGACCCCAAAATCAATAGAGGTCTTCTTTAGGCCACAGGGAGTTGTTATGTAAAATATCATTGCAAAAGCTCAAAGGGTTCTCGAGATATCGCGTGGAAACGAAAGTGTTATAACAGACAGAATTTGCGAATTTATGACCTTGACCTTTGACCTTTTGACCTCAAAATCAATAGGGGTCTTCTTTAGCCCATAGGGAGTTGCTATGCAAAATTTCATTGCGAAAGCTCAAAGGGTTCTCAAGATATCGTGTGGAAACGAAAGCGTTACAGACAGACAGAAAGACGGACGGACGGACGGACGGACGGACACACATTTGGTTATATATTGGGTACATCAAGTCCAAGTCCTATTGGATACTGCTTATTGGATACAAAAAAGTGTACACACGAGAGAGCATTATTTGGGTAGTTACTGTTCAAATCTTATTGGATATTAATCCTGGTGTCCGTATTTTATTGGGTTTTTTCTTATTGTTTTTTATTCATTTCAAATTTATTATATATTTAATATTTGCTGGTAAATTCAGACAAGACTAAAAACCTTTGGTTTTGAACCCATAATTTTGTCAATTTCTGGGATATAGCTCTTTTATTGTAACACCTAACTAATTTGTTCTTAGCAATAAGGATATACACCTGTATATTTCAAAATAACTAATATTAAAATATATGAATACCTAAGTGCAAAAAAACTCAATTGTGAAAACACAACTCAACACATCTCAGACTCTGTTCAACCTTTCTTGAATAACAAAATTTAGTATTTAAGGAGAAACCTTTTTGAGTCATGACCAATTAATAATAAGCAAATGCCCATTACATGTTGGACAGAATGAAGGTATCCAACAGGCATTGGACAGGTGTCCTATACCTGTTGGGTTGTATTTTGACGAAAGGATTAAACTACCCAAGAACAATTGAACATGTGTACATTGTCCAATTCTATTTGGGTTTCTTAAATCTCCTCATCAAAATACAACCCAACAGGTAATGGACACCTTTCCAACTCCTCTTGGATATCTACATCCCACCCAACAGTTAATGGACACTTGTCCAATTCTTCTTGGGTTTCTTGAATTGTTTCATCAGAATACCACCCAACAGGTAATGGACATCTGTCCAACTCCTCTTGGATATCTACATCCTACCCAACAGGCAATGGACACTTGTCCAATACTTCTTGGGTTTCTTGAATTGCATCATCAAAATACAACCCAACAGGTAATGGACACCTGTCCAATTCCTCTTGGATATCTTCATCCCTTCAATAGTAAATAAACTAAATGGTATTGGACATTTTTCTTGGGTTACTCAAATTTTTTTTCATAAGAAAGAAAACCCAATAGGTATTGGACATTGGTTCAACTCTTCTTGGATATTACATCCCAACATTAGAATAAAACCCAACAGGTGATGTTTACCTGTTCTTCTTGGGTTACTTATACCCTTTATTTAAATTGTCAAATTTGTCTTGGATATTTATACTCTTGCACTAGATTGCAAACCCAATAAGTATGACATTTACCTTCCCTAGTTGAATTCAAATTTATCTGCATAAGCATACATAAGTCCAAAACATATTTAATTCTAACATTCCACATCTCATTCAGTGTACACTTTACAAATGATAGGAAATATATAAGCATTTTGTGCCTAAACTATTTGGCTTTTAAAGAATTTTATAACCATGTTTGCAAAATTTAAATTTAAATATTTTAACCTGGAGCAAGTCATTACAGGTAGAGCAAGATGCTGAAAACCATATTGATAAATAGATCACACCCTTGATAAAATATTTGCCTTCAGTTGCTAAGATTGTGTTGTATTATATGGAAAATTTCTATAATCCTGTTTATTACAGAAACATGTACAATGCATATTTTCCCTGAAATAATAAAAATACTTCTGAGATGTAAAAGAATGGATGAAATAGTCACCGATGTTAAAAGATATTACATGATCTCATTAATCTGGTTTGGAAATCACAAACTTAGTTTTGAAGCCGATAAAACAGTGTCGCACCAGAAAACTCAGTTACAAGTACAATGAATGAATTCGTTGTATCAAAACTTTAAAATAATTGATGCACTATGTCCAGATCTTTTCGACAAATTGGGATAAAGATATTAAATCAAATCATCACTGTTATACGTCTTAGAGCTAGTCATTACATGCCCAAATTTTACATGTAAGACTTTGATCCTATATTTCATTAAATGTCAAAATGGTTTTTTTTTTTTTTGTTTTTGTTCAATACTTTCTTCTTCAAAGTCATTACATGCCCAAATTTTACATGTAAGACTTTGATCCTATATTTCAATAAATGTCGAAATGGTTTTATTTTTGTTTCTGTTCAATACTTTCTTCTTCAGGGTCTCTCATGGCTATACTGTATGATACCTCCATTGACCCTGCTCTTTTATATTGCCATATATTTATCCAGTAGCAGTGGTTATGCTCAGGCAATCTTTGAAATATTCCTCATTTCATGCATCTCCTTCAGTTCTGCATCTGTCCATTTTATTCATTCTGCAATTAGATAAAGGCATTTCTTTGCCGTATAAAACATGTTTTTCTTGACTACAGCAAGATCACCCTTTATGTTGATCAAACCCAACCAAGAAGTAGAAGTATATTTCTTATTCAGAAATATGTATTGATAAATAAAATGGAAGAAAAACTAAATTTTATCAACTCTTTTTTTTCTTCTATGTCTAACTGCATCTTCATCCTACCCCCCATCCGCCATAATTTTATCAAAATGGAATCATCATTCAACACACAAAACGATGTTGCATATTAATTAAACAGTATTTTAGTTTCTGATTGTTAAGAAGTAGATTTTAAAAAGATTTTACACCTATTCCTTGCAAATTTTAGACTTCTAATGTAACACTATCAGTACATTAGGGGTACATAATCTTCAAAAACATCTCTACACTTAATGATAAAGCTTCACATAGTATTGTTTTTAGCCCAATGGTTCTGCTAAAGAGGATTTAAAATTGACCCAAACCTTACTAACTGCTTTGAAATTATATTGACAGGGACAGAGACACACTTGACACTCCATCCCCCCTTCCTGGGGTATGCTTTGCACAAAATTTAATTAAAATTGACTAAGCTGGATAGAAGTTGAAAATATGAAAAATTACAGTCAAACAGATTATGAATAACTTTCAGCACATCAGACATGAAGTAGTGATCCTTAAATAAAATACACCTACAAGATGAAGCTGTTTTATTCCTTTGAAGTGATATCTAGTATTGTTTCTTTTTCTGTATGCCACCTCTATCAGAACAAAATGTTATACATGTATTAACATAACCTATGGCCGTATAATACCCCAGTATTTACTTTACAATTAATTAAGTTCTGGAACCAACCTCAGATGCCCTTAAAACAAATGATTCTAAACTGGCAAAGGTAAAGGGCATCTGAAGAATTTAAAATAAAATGATAGTACAAACAAGCAAACAGTGTGCATGAAAATGTTGGCAAACACTAGAAAAAATACTAAGGTACTTTCTCAAACTTAACATGAATAATAAAGAGGTTTTATATAGCTGTATTGCACATACCAAAAGCTTTCCTGCAGTTAAAGGTTGGTTGCCTAGTAGTTATGTAGTATGTACAAGTTTTTCCCTCTATCTCTTCTAATTTAAGAAGCGAAAATGTCTTTAAAAATCTTATGGTTGGCATGAAGTATTCCTGTTCATTTTACTGATTACTTACAATTGTCCTATTTCTGAGGGTCATCTTCTGATGGGTGTGTTCTCTGCAATGTTCACAACTGAAGTTCCTGTTTGACCTGTTACATATTGAAAATCCTCAATGAACATGATTATGGTTTTAATTTCCATTGTAATTATTGATTACTTTTGTAAAAAAAAAATCTAAACCAATTTATTGTAACATAATACTTAGGAAAATATTTATGCAATATCAATGGAAAAAAGGAATCATTATCTCCAGTTATCCTAAAATCACAAGTAAGCATTAATCATATAAATTCACATACATGTACGTAAACCCATTAGCTTTTTTGTGCTATTAAATCATAGTCATTGCTGTGCAATAAAGGAAATCAAGTACTAATCCACAGCTTTGTGGCAATGAAGTTACTATCCCCGAGTAAAAAGTGACAAGCCCAAATATAGAGGCAAAAATTAAAAAGTAACATTGAAAAAAATTTAATCGTGAAAAAAGTCAGGGGCCCGTTTCATCAAAAGTCGTAAAGTTAAGCCTTAACTTAGGCGTACTTCCGGGGATTACGCCAAAATTTAGTCGGGCGTAATTTGCGTTTCACCAAGTGGCGTAAGTCTAGTCGTAAAAGATACGCTTAGTCACAGGACTAAGTCCTTGACAACGTTGCATTGCGCAGGCGCTAAAACATAAACATTGCCCAAAGTGTACAAACATGTATGAATTGTACCACGTCAAAGTACAGAATAACACAAGTTATAGATAAATTGATACTTGCACTAATTGAAACATGCATGGGTTTATAGTGTTATGTAAGAGACATGCATCTTTTAAGAGACCAATTTTAGTTTTTTACAATATTTCAATAATAAAAGTCTAATAAATTGAAAGGATGAAAAGGACAGTTTTTATATTTAATGACTAGATTCCTTAATCTTAAAAAATTGCCAATATATCGATATTACAAAATCGTATTGCGATACGATATTTTTTGTCATTGTATTGCAATATATTGAAATATTAATAAATTGTAGCACGTCAAAGTACAAATAGAAACTAGATATAAAATTAATACTCATTTTGGATGGGTTTAATTTAATTACAGCCACACCAATTTTAGTTTTTTACAATTTTTCAAAATAAAAGTCTAATAAATTGAAAGGATTGAACAAGGTTAATAAATTCGCAAAACTTGATGGAAATAAATTTTCCCGAAATTGATTTCGCCTTTGATAATAAATTTCATGATTCGATAAATACTGATTCTACAGACAAATACTAATAATTAGTCTGAGACAAAATAAGATATAAAAATTTTAATAAAAAATGTATATGCAAGCAAAAATAATGAAAACAAAATGCAAACGGTTTACCTATGAACACATTTTGAGTCAAGAAATAAATTTTATACGTTTACTACTATGGTAATATATTACATGTTTTAGATAATCCTCTCTGTATTTATTTTTTTTGTCAATTCAACTGATTCATAATTGTTCAGTTATAGAAAAAAAATCTTTACTATCTGCAGATTAAATGTGATGTACCGTTTTAAAAGTACGCAGAGAGAGAGAGAGAGAGAGAGAGAGAGAGGGGGTTTGGAAAAATGACTACAAAGATATTCTTACAAAAATTCTCTGCTTGTGTGGTCTCTGTCTTTAAAATTTAGTTACAGCTACTCTTTATTTTGTTTTCATTAAAATGTAAGTAATGCAGGAAATCAAAAACATTTATATTTTCATCTTATATGTGCTTTATATGCGCTCAAATTATCTTATACTATGTAAGATTTGCTTTTTTAAACAAAATTATGAAAATTAAAGATGTCTTCTGCATTAATGTTTGTCTGAGAAAAAAATTAGGAATAATTCATTCTTGAACTTAACTGTGTATTTATCACCGTCTTACATCGATATTATAAAAGCAATAATTTATTACCACTTTCAAAAATCTCTTATTGTCTATGAGACCCCAACCCCCTCCCTGGGTTGGGGTCTATGATTCGCCGGGAACATCACTTGTCCCAGATACCTAGGAAAATAATTACTTTCGTCCTTAACTAAGTAATCTGTACATTCAATGTTAATTAATCTGCAAATTCGGGAGGTTCTGAACCCTTCCAGATCCACGCATGTGGACGAGAAGTAAATAAGAAGTGGACTCTTCAAACATGACAAAAACTATTTGGTTTTAAGATGGGTTATTTTTTTTGAATTTTTTTCTTAAATGTAGAAAATTACATGAAAAATGATAACTATGCTTTTAAAACCGATTTTTTTTTCAGAAAATATGCTGTTGGAAAATATTTTTGAAAAAAATATACAATTTTAATGGGTCTCTTTTTAGTAAATGAAAAAGAAACTAGAGGTACCGTAAGCAATGAGTTCAATAAAAGATATCCCCCCGCCTTCCATATAAATATAATGGCAGTGTCCATGTTTTGCTGTGGGAAACCCAAAATATGTGTCGGATCAAAAAGTACAATAAGGCACAATGGCAATATATAATAAAGATTCTGTGAAAATTTCACCAAATTTCAATCAGTGATATGAAAGGAGTTGTGGATAGAGATGGGTACCCCCAAAGCGTAACAGATGGACGGACGGACATCCCGATTACTAAATAGTATATACATGTACATATACATGTACCGTCCCGCTTTTCAAGCGGGGTGTAGAAATACAGTTATATATGTAAATTGATTTACAATACCTTAGACATACAATACCACAATCAAATGTGTATGAATGCATTGTCAAAACGTAAGAAATCTCTAATAAGACAATCTTTTCTTCTCAGCAGAAATTTATCAAAATATTATTTGAGTACGTTATTACTCAAATCAACTAAGTCCCCAAGTAGTTGTAACAACCCCCCCCTCCTCTTCATAATATGTATAATTTAATAATGCATTGTTTATATTTTAAATTCTTCTTAGAACCTTACTTTTTCTTTAGAACTCGCTAAAATTAATAAAAAAGCCTTATTTTAACTTTACGCCCTAACTTACGCCTACCCATGAGTAGACGTAAAATTTTGGCCTAAATTTAGTCAGGCGTAACGATACGCTCTTTAATGAAATGCAAATATTCGTGCTAGTCCCGACTTTACGCCGGCGTAGCGCTACGACTGGGCGTACGACCTTTGATGAAACGGGCCCCAGGGTATTAACTACAGATGATTCTTTTTAAAATTAAAGTTTAATTTAATTTTCGCTAGTAAAATTTAATCATATATAAATTAATGATTTAAAAAAATGAAAGAAAGATTTTAAATATTCCTTTTCTGGTCATTCACTAGTTCGTCTAATTAAAACGAAGCAAAAATCATTTTGTTTTCATCCTGAATCATTTAAAGCCATATATGGCGTATGTACAATGAAAATTATTAGACTAAAATTATAAGAACTTATTATTTGTATCATTACTTTATATAAACATGATAAAGATAGAAATTTTCCGTAAATTACAAAATCTAAGTCAATTGCGTTATAAAGATATCAAAATTTAATTTGGATTCTCGGAATTTTCTCCGACTTGGAAGAAAATACAAAAGATTTAAATAACACATTACAGAGAAGATAAAATCGTATTATTAGATAAAACGAGGTGTTCTCCGTGCTCCGAATTGTATGAAAAGCTTTAATTTAAATGTATTAACTATATTTCTTTACTTAATTTTGTATTTTTCAAAAATATATTTTTTGATCAGTTACGCCATATATGGCTTTAAAAAAACGCTACATAATTGCATGACACTTATCATTGAGCTGATTGAGTTAATTATATAATTTAATAATGATATATCTGTGAGGCATATATGTACATGCAAATATTGCTATATTAAACACAAGGAAAGGGGGGAATTCAAATTAGGAAATAAAAGATCGTTTTTAGCTGTAAATCAGTCTTGTAGTACTGCAAAATGGATGCAGTTGTGGATATTTATGGATAATATGAGCATGCTGTCTGGAATATTTCCATATTAGGGAATTTAATAGCAAAAAATGAGTGAAATACCTATATTAAACAAAGGAAAGGGGGGAATTCAAATGGTGCTTTTCATGTATTACATGTGTATTTTAAAAATCCTAATAGCCAAAGGGGATTCCTAGCAGTGCAGAAAACCACTAGCCCCATCCTCAAAAATGGAAGCCCCGGGTGTAGCGCGATGCTAATTACACACCCATCATGTGAAATAGTTATAGTAGCCCTATATCAATTTCAGTATTGTTTTAAATTAATTAAAACAAATGACAAAAACAATAATTTAAAAAAAAATCAAAATAAAGCAGACACTCAGTCAAAATCAAAGACAGAAAGAAGCACTGTTTTGACTGAAAGTTTTTCAGTAATACAATGAATCTCTTAAGTTACATATCAGATGAGATAAACTTACATACAATTATTTAGTTGTAGTCAATTATCCCAATTATTATCATCTCAGCTCACTTTGCGATTGTAATACTGTCTACATTGGTCTACATGAACCGATAATTTACAGCTGATTTATGAACACACGATTGTTAAAATTTTCATTTCCCTTTCCAATATACATTGTCAGAACATACTTAGTTGGTTATGATATAAAATTAAATAATAAACACTTTCGATTTATTAAAGATTATCTAACAATATACGATCATTTACTAAATACTTCTCGCCCTCAAGAGAGTTAAAAAGACAGAGAAAATTCAAAATACAAACAAGTGCAACTTAGGATTAATTGTTCCGATATATCTATTTTAATTTTGTGCACAATTGTTTTCAAAATTACATTAAAATCTATTTTCCTTAAACAAGAACCCAGCAATGGATAAATATTAATCGAATAAACTTACCTTTTCTCTTGTCAATCAGAAAATCTTGTTGACATTAAGTGTTTCTTAGTCGCCATATTTTTTTCCATGAAAACAAACGTTGTTATGATCAGGATCAACGGAAGTTGATTTTCGGAACTCTCGAGGATTTAGAGTTCCGAATGTAAAACTGAAACACAAAACACGGTGCGTCCGTGAAAGCAACTGGACACTTTTTTGGACAAATCGTCGTGTCCAAGTTTTGTTGGGTACTAACCTGCAAATACCCAATTAGGGTGTTTTAAGCATATTCAGCGACACTTCTTATTGGGTATACCCAATAAGCAAAAAGTACCCAATAAGTACAATCTTGGCATGAAAAATACCCAATAAATGCACTCTCGTAAACACGGACGGACGGACAGACGGACGGACACACATTTGGTTATATATTGGGTACATCAAGTCCAAGTCCTATTGGATACTGCTTATTGGATACAAAAAAAGTGTACACACGAGAGAGCATTATTTGGGTAGTTACTGTTCAAATCTTATTGGATATTAATCCTCGTGTCCGTATTTTATTGGGTTTTTTCTTATTGTTTTTTTTTTCATTTCAAATTTATTATATATTTAATATTTGCTGGTAAATTCAGACAAGACTGAAAACCTTTGGTTTTGAACCCATATTTTTGTCAATTTCTGTGATATAGCTCTTTTATTGTAACACCTAACTAATTTGTTCTTAGCAATAAGGATATACACCTGTATATTTCAAAATAACTAATATTAAAATATATGAATACCTAAGTGAAAAAAAAACCTGAATTGTGAAAACACAACTCAACACATCAGACTCTGTTCAACCTTTCTTGAATAACAAAATTAAGTATTTAAGGAGAAACCTTTTTGAGTCATGACCAATTAATAATAAGCAAATGCCCATTACATGTTGGACAGAATGAAGGTATCCAACAGGCATTGGACAGGTGTCCTATACCTGTTGGGTTGTATTTTGACGAAGGGATTAAACTACCCAAGAACAATTGAACATGTGTACATTGTCCAATTCTATTTGGGTTTCTTGAATCTCCTCATCAAAATACAACCCAACAGGTAATGGACACCTGTCCAACTCCTCTTGGATATCTACATCCCACCCAACAGGTAATGGACACTTGTCCAATTCTTCTTGGGTTTCTTGAATTGTTTCATCAGAATACCACCCAACAGGTAATGGACATCTGTCCAACTCGTCTTGGATATCTACATCCCACCCAACAGGCAATGGACACTTGTCTAATTCTTGGGTTTTTTGATTTGCATCATTCAAATACAACCCAACAGGTAATGGATACTTGTCCAACTCCTCTTTGATATCTACATCCCACCCAACAGGTAATGGACACTTGTCCAATTCTTCTTGGGTTTCTTGAATTGTTTCATCAGAATACACCCAACAGGTAATACATCACTCCTCTTGGATATCTAGGCAATGGACACTTGTCCAATTCTTCTTGGGTTTCTTGACTCATACAATACAACCCAACAGTCCAACTCCTCTTGGATATCTACATCCCACCCAACAGGTAATGGTCACTTGTCCAATTCTTCTTGGATTTCTTGAATTGTTTCATCAGATCACCACCCAAAATGTAATGGACATCTGTCCAACTCTTCTTTGATATCTACATCCCACCCAACAGGCAATGGACACTTGTCTCATTCCTGGGTTTCTTGAATCTCCTCATAAAATACAACCCAACAGGTAATGGACACCTGTCCAACTCCACTTGGATATCTACATCCCACCCAACAGGTAATGGACACTTGTCCAATTCTTCTTGGGTTTCTTGAATTGTTTCATCAGAATACCACCCAACAGGTAATGGACACCTGTCCAACTCCTCTTGGATATCTATATCTCACCCAACAGGTAATGGACACTTGTCTAATTCTTCTTGGGTTTCTTGAATTGTTTCATCAGAATACCATCCAACAGGTAATGGACATTCGTCCAACTCCTCTTGGATATCTACATCCCACCCAACAGGCAATGGACACTTGTCTAATTCTTGGGTTTCTTGAGAATCCCCTCATCAGAATACTACCCAACATGTAATGGACACCTGTCCAATTCCTCTTGGATATCTTCATCCCTTCAATAGTATATAAACTAAAAGGTATTGGACATTCTTCTTGGGTTACTCAATTTTTTTTTCATAAGAAAGAAAACCCAATAGGTATTGGACATTGGTTCAACTCTTCTTGGATATTACATCCCAACATTAGAATAAAACCCAACAAGTGATGTTTACCTGTCCAATTCTTCTTGGGTTACTTATACCCTTCATTAAAATTGTCAAATTTGTCTTGGATATTTATACTCTTGCATTAGATTGCAAACCCAATAAGTATGACATTTACCTTCCCTAGCTGAATTCAAATTTATCTGCATAAGCACACATAAGTCCAAAACATATTTAATATTTTAATTCTAACATTCCACATCTCATTCAGTGTACACTTTACAAATGATAGGAAATATATAAGCATTTTGTGCCTAAACTATTTGGCTTTAAAGAATTTTATAACCATGTTTGCAAAATTTAAATTTAAATATTGGAACTTGGAGCAAGTCATTACAGGTAGAGCAAGATGCTGAAAACCATATTGATAAATAGATCACACCCTTGATAAAATATTTGCCTTCAGTTGCTAATATTGTGTTGTATTATATAGAAAATTTCTATAATCCTGTTTATTACAGATACATGTACAATGCATATTTTCCCTGTAATAATAAAAATACTTCTGAGATGTAAAAGAATGGATTAAATAGTCACCGATGTTAAAAGATATTACATGATCTCATTAATCTGGTTTGGAAATCACAAACTTAGTTTTGAAGCCGATAAAACAGTGTCGCACCAGAAAACTCAGTTACAAGTACAATGAATGAATTCGTTGTATCAAAACTTTAAAATAATTGATGCACTATGTCCAAATCTTTTCGACAAATCGGGATAAAGATATTAAATCAAATCATCACTGTTATAAGTCTTAGAGCTAGAGAAAAGTCATTACATGCCCAAATTTTACATGTAAGACTTTGATCCTATATTTCATTAAATGTCAAAATGGTTTTTTTTTTTTGTTTTTGTTCAATACTTTCTTCTTCAGGGTCTCTCATGGCCTATACTGTATGATACCTCCATTGACCCTGCTCTTTTATATTGCCATATGTTTATCCAGTAGCAGTGGTTATGCTCAGGCAATCTTTGAAATATTCCTCATTTCATGCATCTCCTTCAGTTCTGCCTCTGTCCATTTTATTCATTCTGCAATTAGATAAAGGCATTTCTTTGCCGTATAAAACATGTTTTTCTTGACTACAGCAAGATCACCCTTTATGTTGATCAAACCCAACCAAAAGCCAAGTAGAAGTATATTTCTTATTCAGAAATATGTATTGATAAATAAAATGGAAAAAAACTAAATTCTATCAACTCTTTTTTTTCTTCTATATCTAACTGCATCTTCATCCTACCCCCCATCTGCCATAATTTTATCAAAATGGAATCATCATTCAACACACAAAACGATGTTGCATATTAATTAGACAGTATGTTAGTTTCTGATTGTTAAGAAGTAGATTTTAAAAAGATTTTACACCTATTCCTTGCAAATTTTAGACTTCTAATGTAATATCAACATTAACATAATCTTCAAAAACATACACTTAATGATAAAGCTTTCACATTAGTATTGTTTTTAGCCCAATGGTTCTGCTAAAGAGGATTTAAAATTGACCAAACCTTACTAACTGCTTTGAAATTATATTGACAGGGACAGAGACACACTTGACACTCCACCCCCCTTCCTGGGGTATGCTTTGCACAAAATTTAATTAAAATTGACAAAGCTGGATAGAAGTTGAAAATATGAAAAATTACAGTCAAACAGATTATGAATGACTTTCAGCACATCAGACATGAAGTAGTGATCCTTAAATAAAATACACCTACAAGATGAAGCTGTTTTATTCCTTTGAAGTGATATCTAGTATTGTTTCTTTTCCTGTATGCCACCTCTATCAGAACAAAATGTTATACATGTATTAACATAACCTATGACCGTATAGTACCCCAGTATTTACTTTACAATTAATTAAGTTCTGGAACCAACCCTCAGATGCCCTTAAAACAAATGATTCTAAACTGGCAAAGGTAAAGGGCATCTGAAGAATTTAAAATAAAATGATAGTACAAACAAGCAAACAGTGTGCATGAAAATGTTGGCAAACACTAGAAAAAATACTAAGGTACTTTCTCAAACTTAACATGAATACTAAAGAGGTTTTATGTAGCTGTATTGCACATACCAAAAGCTTTCCTGCAGTTAAAGGTTGGTTGCCTAGTAGTTATGTAGTATGTACAAGTTTTTTCCCTCTATCTCTTCTAATTTAAGAAGCGAAAATGTCTCTAAAAATCTTATGGTTGGCATGAAGTATTCCTGTTCATTTTACTGATTACTTACAATTGTCCTATTTCTGAGGGTCATCTTCTGATGAGTGTGTTCTCTGCAATGTTCACAATTGAAGTTCCTGTTTGACCTGTTACATATTGAAAATCCTCAATGAACATGATTATGGTTTTAATTTCCATTGTAATTATTGATTACTTTTATAAAAAAAATCTAAACCAATTTATTGTAACATAATACTTAGGAAAATATTTATGTAATATCAATGGAAAAAAGGAATCATTATCTCCAGTTATCCTAAAATCACAAGTAAGCATTAATCATATAAATTCACATACGTAAACCCATTGTGCTATTAAATCATAGTCATCGCTGTGCAATAGAGGAAATCAAGTACTAATCCACAGCTTTGTGGCAATAAAGTTACTATCCCCAAGTAAAAAGTGACAAGCCCAAATATAGAGGCAAAAATTAAAAAGTAACATTGAAAAAAAGTTCATCGTGAAAAAAGTCAGGGTATTAACTAGAGATGATTCTTTTTAAAATTAAAGTTTAATTTAATTTTCGCTAGTAAAATTTAATCATATATAAATTAATGATTTTAAAAAATTAAAAAAAAAAAAGAGTTTAAATATTCCTTTTCTGGTCATTCACTAGTTCGTCTAAGTAAAACAAAGCAAAAATCATTTTGTTTTCATCTTGAACCATTTAAAGCCATATATGGCGTATGTACAATGAAAATTATTAGACTAAAATTATAAGAACTTATTATTTGTATCATTACTTTATATAAACATGATAAAGATAGAAATTTTCCGTAAATTACAAATCTAAGTCAATTGCGTTATAAAGATATCAAAATTTAATTTGGATTCTCGGAATTTTCTCCGACTTGGAAGAAAATACAAAAGATTTAAATAACACATTACAGAGAAGATAAAATCGTATTATTAGATAAAACGAGGTGTTCTCCGTGCTCCGAATTGTATGAAAAGCTTTAATTTAAATGTATTAACTATATTTCTTTACTTAATTTTGTATTTTTCAAAAATATATTTTTTGATCAGTTACGACATGTATGGCTTTAAAAAAAAACCTACATAATTGCATGACACTTATCATTGAGCTGATTGAGTGAATGTATATAATTTAATAATTAGATATCTGTGAGGCATATATGTACAAGCAAATATTGCTATATTAAACAAGGAAAGGGGGGAATTCAAATTAGGAAATGAAAGATCGTTTTTAAGTTACTGTAAATCAGTCTTGTAGTACTGCAAAATAGATGCAGTTGTGGAGATTTATGGATAATATGAGCATGCTGTCTGGAATATTTCCATATTAGGGAATTTAGCGCAGAAAACCACTAGCCCCATCCTCAAAAATGGAAGCTCCGGGTGTAGCGCGATGCTAATTATACACCCATCAAGTGAAATAGTTATAGTACCCTATATCAATTTCAGTATTTTTTTTAAATTAATTAAAACAAATGACAAAAACAATAATTAAATAAAAATCAAAATAAAGCGCGGCGCCATGCCCTTTTTTTCTCGGCGCCATGCCCTTATTTCCTAAGCCAAAATTAATAAATATGCCCAGTTTATGCAATATTCCTTTGCTGTTCTGTTTATTAAGTGCATGCTGATAATCCCTTTATTTAAACAACGACAGGAAATCACTTCACGCTTGAGCGCACGCACACAGCCACCTGGCTAATTAACATGCCTCAGGCTGTCTGGGTAGAGAATTTAACTTGAGAAACTGTCATTTGATTGCATTGATTATGCAAGAATTAGCCCAAGACCAAAGATAAATAAACTTGTAAATTTTTAACTAATAAAAATCAGGATCGTTTTTTTATAAACCGAAAGTAGAATAAAACACATAGTACAACTTGAAGAAAAAATGGATATTTTATCTGAATAAAATACTTACAGTGTACCAAAAAACTGAATGTAATGTGATAAAAAAGGCTTTAAAAAAACAAACTAACTTAGTTTCTTTGATTGAACTGATAGATTTGACAAGCTAAGGGTCAAAGTTTCTAATTAAAGGCAGAGTTGTTTTTTTTAAACAAATTATGCATGGCAGTAAGACCAGTTTTCACATGATCCTGTTGGTAGAATATTTTCCAAGTAAAGAGAATGGTCTCTACGTGTATTTTTCAAAATGCCCATCCCCCCTTCCCTGAAAAAATTATTTTCCTTTCATGTTTAAATTGACTGTACTTGTAAACAAATAAAAGTCAAAGCAGGTAAAAAAACAATCATACCTCCAAATTTTAATAATTTTTGCACCTGTTTCAGCTAGATTAATACCATTATTTTCTCAAGTGTAACCTTACTACTTTTTTTATTGAAGAAATTGGATGTAAATGCCTTTTTTATATTCTTTTTGTTTCTGAATCAATAATTAAAACATTGTTTAAAAAAAGAATGGAATACAGATATATGAATTTATCTTTAAATTACTTGTTTTAAATAAAGATTTCAATATGAAAGGATATTTAAAGTAATTAAACATGTTAAAGTATGTAAAAATTAAAAAAAGTTAAATAGAATTTCAATGACAGTAACATTTGTTTTCAAAGTGCCCTCGTGAGATCCTGTCGCGACACAAAGTGCCCTTTTGATTCCTTGATTGCAATGCCCTTTTTAGGGTCTAGATTTAACATCAAAGACAGAAAGAAGCACTGTTTTGACTGAAAGTTTTTCAGTAATACAATGAATCTCTTAAGTTACATATCAGATGAGATAAACTTACATACAATTATTTAGTTGCTGTCAATTATCCCATTTATCATCATCTCAGCTCACTTTGCGATCGTGATACTGTCTACATGAACCGATAATTTACAGCTGATTTATGAATACACGATTGTTAAAATTTTCATTTCCCTTTCCAATATACATTGACAGAACATACTAAGTTGGTTATGATATAAAATTAAATAATAAACACTTTCGATTTATTAAAGATTATCTAACAATATACGATCATTTACTAAATACTTCTCGCCCTCAAGAGACTTAAAAAGACAGAGAAAATTCAAAATACAAACAAGTGCAACTTAGGATTAATTGTTCCAATATATCTATTTTAATTTTGTGCACAATTGTTTTCAAAATTACATTAAAATCTATTTTCCTTAAACAAGAACCCAGCAATGGATAAATATTAATCGAATAAACTTACCTTTTCTCTTTTCAATCAGAAAATCTTGTTGACGTTAAGTGTTTCTTAGTCGCCATTTTTTTTCCCATGAAAACAAACGTTGTTATGATCAGGATCAACGGAAGTTGATTTTCGGAACTCTCGAGAATTTAGAGTTCCGAATGTAAAACTGAAACAACAAAACACGGTGCGTCCGTGAAAGCAACTTTTTTGGACACTTTTTTGGACAAATCGTCGTGTCCAAGTTTTGTTGGGTACTAACCTGCAAATACCCAATTAGGGTGTTTTAAGCATATTCAGCAACACTTCTTATTGGGTATACCCAATAAGCAAAAAGTACCCAATAAGTACAATCTTGGCATGAAAAATACCCAATAAATGCACTCTCGTAAACACGGACGGACAGACGGACGGACGGACAGACCCAAATTAATATCCCCCACTTTTCAAGCGGGGGACAAAAACAGAAGTTGCTGGTTGACAACGCTCTAACAATGCCCTATAAACATACTGTGATCGCCAACGGACGCTGTAGAAACGCCATGTGAGCGCAATGATCGTAGTGACGACTCCGTGCTGTCGGTGTGTAATCGCAGTCGAAAAAATCATAAGACGATAAATCTCATTAGAAGCGCCGTAAAAACGCAATAGAAACGCAGTGACATCTCCAAGGACTCCGCGACATCTCCGTGAGGTCTCCGTGGAAGCGCAGTTTACTATGACTGCGTTCGTGTCGGGATCATGTGCGCCTTCACGGCGTTCGTACGGACCTCCCACTAAGTTGTTGGAGATCTCGTCGCGCTGCTACGGCGATCATACTAAGTTTCTACTGCGTTCTTATCAGACCGCGATCACACGGCGCGTACTTTGTGCATGCCCAGAAGTTGACATTAAAAAGATGCCAAACGAGGTTCGCTACTCGGTTTTCAGCAGATTTTTGTCTTACATGGTAATCTCTTTTCAAAAAATTCATTAAAATTCTTGAGCTTTTCAATGGTCTGACCACGCTCCACTGCATTTTAAATTTGTGTCAATAAATCTATTATGCATCATGATAAAAGAAGTGATGACAATACACGTTTTGTTAGAACGAAATGGGATGACTTGTTATACAATGAAATTAAAACTGAATTATGTAGTCATTTACAGCACCTTGCGGTCGCTATAAATATTGTAGAAATAACAAAAGAAGGTGTCAAAAATTGTGTTGAGACATTTACGCAGGTACTTAATGATGTATAATTTCTCCCATATCGTAGTTAGGAAATAACTATTAGTAATACATCCAACCAAAGCAAAAGAAGAAACATAGACAATAAACCTGGTTTGATGACAAGTGCGCAGCGTTACGTAAAACTTATCTAAGAAACTTGAATGTGTTCACTAGTTCACGGAATCATTTTAACAGAAATGTATTGGTCGCTTCTGAGAGAATTATATAAGATATGAATGAAAAGTTAAACGAGAATACTTCCTTTACCAAGGAGATCAAATGGAATATCTAAGGAAGAAAAATCCAAAAGAATTTTATCGCATTTTCCGCAAACAAAAAAGAAACCTATTACGTGGACCGGATCTGTCGGAATTTTATAACCGCTATAAGGAACTTTCTGCAAATCAACATTCAATGCATGCCCGTAGTGAATCGGTATCTTTAGAAATAGACAATTCTGCATATCCTGAATTTCACAGCCCAATCACTGCAGAGGAGATAAATCGCGTTATCAAATGTTTGAAGAAAGAAATCCTCCGGCAATTGACAAACTATTTAATGAATATTTTATTATGTATAATGATATTCTCGTTGTATACCTTGTATATTTATAAACTAAACTCGGAATTGTAAGTAGTTTATGCCCTTGCACTAGTGACATTTATGGGTAACACCAATACTTGAAGTAAATGTGCTAAAATCGCATGACTGCCGCATCACGTGACAAGTCTAAATATAAAATCTATTCGACATCAGTATGTAGTTATTAACCATAATTAGAGTTATCCGATATAAAAAAAAAATGTATTTAAAAAAATCGCCATCCCGATTATGAATGTATTTTTCATTACAAAATATTGTTGATAATTCCGTTGTGCACCTTAACTGTATTGCGAGCACTGCATCAATGATGGTTTATTTTGAACTAGGACAGAAACCA